CGCCCACGCCCACGCCCACGCCCACGCCCACGCCCACGCCCACGCCCACGCCCACGCCCACGCCCACGCCCATGCCCACGCCCACGCCCACGCCCACGCCCACGCCCACGCCCACGCCCACGCCCACGCCCACGCCCACGCCCACGCCCACACAACACACAACACACAACACACAACACACAACACACAACACACAACACACAACACACAACACACAACACACAAGACACAAGACACAAGACACAAGACACAAAACACAAGACACAAGACACAAGACACAACACACAACACACAACACACAACACACAACACACCACAACCCAACGGCACTCGCACCCGCACCCGCACCCGCACCCGCACCCGCACGCGCACGCGCACGCGCACGCGCTCCCGCACGCGCACGCGCACGCGCAAGCACACGCACACGCACACGCACACGCACACGGACACACACACACACACACACACACACACACACACACACACACACACACACACACACACACACACACACACACACACACACACACACACAACTCACACACACGACACACACACACACACACACACACACACACACACACACACACACACACACACACACACACACACACACACACACACACACACACACACACACACAGACACACACTGACACACACTGACACACACTGACACACACTGACACACACTGACACACACTGACACACACTGACACACACTGACACACACTGACACACACTGACACACACTGACACACACTGACACACACACTGACACACACTGACACACAAACTGACACACACTGACACACACTGACACACACTGACACACACTGACACACACTGACACACACTGACACACACTGACACACACTGACACACACTGACACACACTGACACACACTGACACACACTGACACACACTGACACACACTGACACAGCCACACACACACACCCACGCCACGGACCACACATCACACATCACGAAACAAGCAACACACACAGTAAACAACACACTTATGTTCTCAACAGTTTGACTTTGCGGTGAGGACTGTGCGCTCTTCTCCACACGGATCGGGATTTGGCACCTTGGCCCAATGAGAGCAACAACAAATGGTCGAAGGCTGAATGATCAACAGGGTTTCTTCTATGTCCTGTGCCAACATCACCCAAGGAGCATTCCAAGCTGCCTCTGCTGCCGGGGCCGTCGCTGCTGCTGCTGCTGCTGCTGCTGCTGCCGCTTTGATAATTCTGTCTGCTCTGCTGCCTGCTGCGTGTTGACTTGTGTTATTTTTTGCCTGTTTGTATCTTTCTCTCCTATTGCAACAAAAGGGGATGCGACAGATGGCTTCAACTGCCTTTACTCCATGCATGAATGGTATGCATTTTATGTTCGTTCCCGATGCTTGGCTGTCCCGAAATCAGAGAAATAGTGGAATCTGAACACATTTTAACGAGCTCACCTGAGCTCACTCATGATGAGGTTTCTTCACAGGAGGGTTCCCTGATTATTTCCAGTTTGGGAAGTATGGTCGGTATGCTAATTCGTCCAGATTGGGTGTGTGCATGTGCATTGCTGTTTCTGCACCAGGGGCGTTTACCTCTTTTGTTTGAGGGGGCCCCTTCAAAGCAACAACCAAACACAGGTCGATTTTTTCCCCGTGGCAACTGGAGGTCTTGGCTAAGCCAGAAGACCCTGTGTTGACGCCCAAAAAGCGTTGCCCATAAGAATGTTCAAAGCTGGTCTGCTGAACTGTTTGATTCCCCAAACTGGCCCAGACAACCCTCACGTCAGCGGATACCAAGGAATGCTTGGATAAGTGGGGCTGTTTTTTTTCCCTGAGAATGCCGTGCTCGGGTTGTTTTCACGAATAATGAAGAAAACACATGAAGCAATGGCAAGACACCGTGATGAACAAATACGCGCAAAACCGATGTACCTAGTAACAAAAGACGCGTTTGAGTTTCACGCAAACCAACAATCGCAAAAGTTAAAAGTTACACAAGCTCACAACATGTACAACCAACCAAAGAGATGTACTCATTTTAGGGCTCAATTCCACCCCAAGTTGCTTTGGTTCCAGGTGAATTTGCGGGGTGCATGTTCCTGACTCAGCCAAGGCCACATCCCATTTGAAAGCTCTCTGGCCTGAAATGGGCCCGGACCTTGGAGCGCAGCTAACTTGCGAGTTGGAATGTGCCCTATGAAACATCGAAACTTCTGTTTGAGTATGTTGTACTTTCCTCTTTGGTTGTAAAAGGAATCTGTCACTTCTGGAAAGATTGTTGTTTTTGCATTGGGCTCAAGCAAATGGAGACTAAATAGATTCCTAGGTATCCCTAGCATTCCCAAACGTCTTGTGATTTCTTGAGCACCAGCAAGTTGTTCCTAAGCGCCCAACCATGTGTGGCACGGCAAAGACTCCTTCTTTCGTGGGCTAGGTGTATGGTTGCTCAGTACAGATCCTTATCATGGTCATCTTAATTCCCCATTGAGGGGCCATCACCAAACATTACCATCCCTACTAACCTGGTAGATGGTTGTCTGACAAAAGCGTTCTCCTTGTTCTCCAACGGTGGCAAAAGGCTTGTACCTTTAGAGTTTGGGAGACGCAACTCGTGTTCCAGGGCCGGGCCCCTCAAGTTTCATGCCACCTTGGGCCAGGTGACATGCAGATTGTCTTGCAGACTTCTATTGGACAGTGGTTTGGTGATGGGTATGTGCCCCTCGTGAATTTTCAGGAGGTTTCCGTGGTTTTGTGCAGAGGTCTTTAAGTCTGCCTGGGGATTTGTGTCAGACAATGCAGCGTTGCCCAGGTCCCAAAAAGCAGGTAACGATTGCGCGATGTCCCTTTGAATACACCTGCTTGGGAACCATCACAAAAGAGTCCAACCTTGCCTTGGTATGAACAACTGTTTATAGATAGGCGATATATGTTCTAATTCTCCCAAAAGGCTACCAAAAAGGGATACTTCTTTTTAGGTGTTTGCTTATGTTTGCTTTGTTTTCCGACATGTTGTTATTTGTTTGCATGTCCTTAGATATGCCGGACCCCCTATTTAATACCCAGACCAAACACCCACAGACTCCGAGGCCTGACGCTGATGCGGCGGCTCCTACAGCGCCCAGAGGGCGCCAGTCTGGCGGTGACCCTTTGGCTGGTAGAGGCTTCGCGGGGGAAATTCGCTTCCCGTCGCCTGGGTGGAAAGGTAGGAAGCCTTCGGTTCCCCTTCTTCCAGATGCACTTGGTTGGCATTTTGGTGTACCCCTCCTGATCAGAATCAAGCGGGGATTTTGCTTAATCCCAGGTTCCCATTTCCCAAAACCCATGGGTAAAGCAACAAGGGCGGCTTTGGTCGCATCGTAGCTGCTGTCCTTTCCAACCTTTCACCCAGGTGTTGATGTAGCTCAAATAGCTGCATAAGGTCTCCCCTGAAACACGCTGCATAGCTGGTTCTGATTTTCGTGAGCATGTGCCTCGCATTCCAGCGTGTGGCGGAGACTGATTTTCCGAGCCTTCAGATGAGATCACCTCATAAAAGAGAAGCACTTGAATCCGGGAACCTAAAGGTGCAATTAGACTTATCTCTTAAAAAGGGGCATGTATACGGACCTGTTTTTGCAAATTCAGCGTTAACATGGCCGTAGGTTAGCGTTCTCAAGAAAAGAAATCGGGTTCTGGTGCGTAGATCAAAGCGCTCTGTATGTCTCATGAATTGTGGGGTACTCCGAAGCCACCCAAGAAGTTGGGCAGGTGAAACTTGCTGGTTCTCAGTAGGGAATCACGAGAGGGTTCAGTGAATGAACCTGGGGACCCTTACGAAACCACAAAGCACATGGTCCTGCCAACTCATTCCCTGAGAATCAACAAGATAAGGACTCCCCAAAAGACGAGAATCCCCCAAAGTATGCGGACTGTTTTGATGAGCCTTTGTCTTCAGAGCTTTACTTGGAGCCACAGACTCGGTGAGGTCATTGCCTTTCTCCAATTCAGTCAAAGTGGCAGTCTACAGTGAAGCAACCCCGATTTCTGACTTTGACAGTCAAAAGAATGTCACCAGCTCAATCACTTTTCGTTTGGTGGGTTCGTTTAGGGGTTTCCCGGATGGGTGACAGAAGGAACAAAGTCATTAATCCTTGTTCACCCTTGCAGTTCTGACTCATGACTACCCGTGTTTGGGCCCAGCAAGGCCGCGGAGTGGTTCAGAGCAGCTTTCAAGCTTTCAGGGAGGGTGCCAAGAGGTTTCTGGGTTGTTGGGCATAGCACCAGGGCCTATTTGTTTGGCCCTGAATACAAGGAGCTGAGCAAATTAAACTCTTCTTCCCATGATCCCACTCAGTTTGGTCTCATGCCCCTCTAACTATTCTTCCGCAGGATAGTAGCTCCCGACTCACCAGGATGTGAGGCTCATCCTCAAGCTGCATGTTTTTACCGTTCTTCCCAGGGTCCCACTCATTTTTTTGTCTGGTCTCATTTATGCCCCTCTACCTATTCTCTTCTAGTTGTCTAGTAGGGAAAGGCTCCCCCGATTCAAAACTCCACCCACCAAAAGCGCGGGATGCCCCGGTTTTTTCCCTCCCGGGAACTCCACGGGGCATCTGAGTCAGGCGCTGGAGGAGGCGGCCGAGGCCTTCGCAGCGGCAGGCGAGAAGAAGCGCCAGCGAAGCGAGCGGCGCCATGGGGGAAGGGAAGCCGAGGGTTTCTGGGGGGAGAGGTGGGGGGTTTTTCCCAGCCATTTGGGCCTACTCAGGAAGTGGGCTTGGATAAGAACCAGCTGGAGGCTGTGTGTGGGGTGTTTTCCTTGGATGTGCGATGTGGTTTGAGAGGGAACAATTGACACTTTTCGGGAGAAAGGGGGGGTTGTTTTGGTACGGTGTGTCTCTTTTGAAGCTCGGTAACCCTTTTGGAGAGGGTCAAAAGGGAATCAAAGGAACCCGCCTTTTTTTTTTTGGGGGGGGGGGTGACATTTTTTCCGGACGTCTGATTGCGACTAACTCGTAACCCGTTTTCTGAGACAACGGCTCACTTCCTTTGAGTATTTCCAGTGATGAAGGTCTCTTACTTGGATTTCTTATGCCCACTTCCTGATGGACTTGATACATTGTGGGGAGGCCAATTTAGAGATACGCAAACAGTTCAGACTTTTCTGGCCAATCCACTCCGAAAGAAAAGGGGTTGTGTTGGATGCAGAGCGAATCCGAAAGGACATCAACCAATTTGGGGGCATACCCATGAGACAAATCCAAGCCCTGAGAACGGAAATCAATGGGGATGTGGATCCAATATGAGAAGCACTGCATCCTGGATGGGGCTGTCAGCTTTCGGAGCTTAAGCTTTGATCTGTCTCTTTAAGCCGTCAGTCTCACAGACAGCACCAGAAGTCTCGAGGCGCTGTTGCATGTGGGTATTTGTCAAAGTAGGGGACCTCCAGAATGGTGCTTTTCCTTTTGGTTTCCCTTTGAAACCAGAGCACAAAAAGGGTACCCTCACGAAAAACACACCAACACACACCCATGTGCAGCCGAGCACCCCCCCCTGTCCCCTCCCCCCTGTCCCCTCCCCCCCCCTGGCCAGGCGAGTCGCCGCACATGGCCGCGCCCGGGTACCGCGTCGCCGCCAAGCTGGCGCGGCGGAAGCCGCCGGAGCCGACTTCGCCGACTCCGCCGACGTCGCCGGAGAAGGAGCGACCGGGAGTCAAGGGGCAGGGGCTATGGAGGGTTCCCTACATTTCTGTTGGGGGTTTAAACATCGCATTCTGTCTGCCAAAACAAAGACGGCGACGTTCCTTATGTTTAAATGGGATGGTTTTAACTTGCTGGTGCTCAGCAGGGAATGAGGGAATGACACCTGTAAACCATCCCTTGCGGTTTTCTTTAAGGGGATCCCTGGGTTCATTCCTAAAACCCTGGGTCATTCTGTTGAGCACCAGCAAGTCAAACATCACTTTTTGGTTTCTAAAAAGAATATTTTTTGGTGATGATGTTTACAGGGGAAGTGTCTGAATAGGGGTACCCCTAAATGGGCGGTCTTGTTTGGTTTCCCTTTGGGCCCCTTCCGAAAAGGCTACCTCCGAAAAAGACACACCCCCATATTTCACGTTTCTAGGTTTGCTATGTATGGGCTCTATGGACCACAGCCATGTGTTTTGGTCGCGGGTCACAAGTGAGGTTTGGCCGGCTCCAACAAGAGCACCTTGTTCTGTTGTCGGTGATATTTTTCGACCATTTGATGTGCAAACCTGTTCATGGCAAGTGGGCATCTTTGGTGTTACCCCTTAGACCCATTGAAGGAATCATTAAACCTACGAAATGTTGTGGACCTTTGGCTCAGGGGGCGGGGGGATTGAGCAATCCAGCTAAAAGATTGATTTCTTGCTGACCTGTACGCAGTGGTGAACCCACACTTGCATCAAACGTAGAGTGGGCACATAGTCGAAGGGTGGTTTCCCTGGTTTTGCAACTTGATCACTGGTTGGTGGCATGACGCCGACTTTGAGGGACGTTCCCCCAGTTCCATTCACCTCAAGGGGAAATCAGGTTGTCGTAGACAGCCTTCCGGAGTTTCAGCCCTCCCTTCTAAAGGGAGTTCCCTGAGGGGTTCATTAGTTGAGGTTGGTGAATTCATAACTGGTCCAAATATATGTAGCAGTGCTTCCGGAATTCGGCTGGACCGGCGTGACGGTGCTTTGGCTGTATTCATTCGAGGAGTCCTAAAATACAGTTCTGTGCAGTTTGTTGGCCCAGCTTGTCCTGTTCGCACATGTGCACATTTGCTGCCTCTTAAGTGGCAAAGCTCATCTTGGTCGGCGGAGCTTTTGCTTATGCGAAGTGCCATTTTTGAGCGCAGGCCATGGACAAAGATCCCAGCGTTGAGGAGGCTCGGACTGAGAGACTGATCAGTCGTCCAATTGGGGTGGTGGTGAAATACAAGATGGCATGTCTTCCTTTGGGTTCCATTTGTTAACATCACCCTAAAAAGGGCAGGACAAGGGAGACACACCCAACTCTGTCCTTTTGACTTGTTGGTTCCCCTTGTTTGGGCCAACTGCAAATGGAGTCACAGACCCGCGGGGTTGCATTTGTGCGTCATGACGCCGAAGAAGTTTAATGGGGCGTCCGCTTCGAGAACAGTGACCATGCAAGACGTCTTGACCATCTTGCAAATGATGTGCGAACTTGATTGTGAACATTGTTGACATGTCAGTATGGAATACTTCATGGGGGCTGCGGGGGAAGGAGGGGAGGCCGAGGGAGCCCAAATAAGCCCTAAATAAGGCCTATTAAGTCTTATGAAGGGCTTAATAAGGGCTTATGTGGGCTCCCTCCCCTCCCTCCCCCCTAGCCCCCATGAATACTTGGTTTTTGCCCTCCTCATACTGGCATTGCAGAATCGAAAAGGAGCACAATTTTTGAATTTGGTGAATCACCGCCACGTGCAACTAAGACTCCAGCTGCACAACTAGTTGTGCTCGATGGTTTCCGTACTTGCTACAGTATAGTGAATCTGTGTATCGTCCAAAACCGGCTCATGAAGGTATCGTCACCGCCCGGAAGTTAGGTTTTCCATCATACGGGCGTGTTTGAGTTGTGCTTTGAGGATCCAAACATCGCTATGTTGGCCAATCTCAAGATGCGAGATACTAGAGGTGTGCATCTTGGGTGTAGTTGAAGCTTATTTTGTAGTTCTGACCAACAATAAGCGTGACCTTTGCTTTGCTGGTGCCCGTGACGAAAACTGTTCCCGTCCCAGCTTTCCAAGCACACGGCTTTGTCAGGACACGTGCGAAAGCACACGAGAGCTGCTGGACATCTTGACCGCCCCAGGGCCTGGAAGTCGAGTCGCGGGTCGGTCAGGAAGCTCTCCTTAGCTGCGGTTGATCCACCCGGTGGCTCAGAATCCGTGGGTTTTGAGATGTCAAGATGATGTCTTTGGAAGCCGCGGCATGGGAATATTTTTATCCGGGCAGCCGCAACTGGATCCCAAAAACGGGGGTCTCCCTTTCAGTCACCATTTGGGATCAGAGTTTACATAAGTCCTTTTTTTGAAAACCAGGTCAAGGAGCATCCCCAGCATTGGCCGAGGAAGCCTCACGGAAGCAGGGCCACCCAACCTCAATCCCGAGACCCCATAGCCATCGCTGCGCGGGAATGAGATGTGTTGTCTTACCTCTTAAAAACACTCTTTAAAAAAAAAAGAGAAAAAACTGTTTGGGTAACATGGGCTATATGTCTGTAAAAGATTAACTTCCCCAGGGCTTGGAGTTTTAAGGGGTAAGTTTTTGTTTCTCTGACAAGAGGTATAGTACAGTCTTGGATTTGCTTTACTTGTTTTCACGTGAATTCAGCATTCCGCAAAGGACAACCCTACTGCCAGTCCGGGATTGGCCAAGGCTGTGTTCGCAGCTGCTTTGATATTGTAAGAGGAGCTAACTCTGGGAAGTGATTGGGGAAAGTGGTCAGAGGTCATGCGACTCCGTCATTTGGGTTTGTCTCGATATAGGGGAACCCCCGAAATTGAATGGTTTCCTTTCAGGTTTCCCTTTTGAAGCCATTGAAAAAGGGTACCGAGCCTCAAAAGAGACATCCAGTCGTTCCATTCGTGTAACCCAGTGCCACACGGATCCATTTCGCCTGAGGCAAGCGTGTCGGCACCCCGAACGGCCGCGACGGATCAAGGCAAGCAGCTGGAGGACGGCTCCGAGCCTTGATCTTTTAAGAGCTCAAACCTTTGGGCGTCATTCATGCATTTCTATAATAGGAAACCCCTGAAAGCATGTATGCCCTAAATGATGGCGGTTGACCCGGCAAACCCGGCTTGCCATTTGAGGTTCAGTCATCTATGGTCCAGTTGGGAGGGACATTGCGAGGCTCACTAAGTTGCGCACGAAATCCAAACCCACCCACACTTCCCATGTCCGAGTGAATTCTTACCAAATCTCATTTGTGCCATGGTCCAAACTCATTTTTGCTCCGGGCTAGCTGTCAACTCTGGGCAGTTTGGACAATCATTGCAAGGGTTCCTAGCAAGGGAGCCATGACCACCCACAGATTCGGAGTTCTCACCATGGCCCGTGTAGAGACTCCTTGCTGATCCTTGTAAGACCTTGGAAAATCCCCAGGAGTGTCTCCGGCCACAAGGAACTTCCCTGGCTCTTCCTTAAGCCTACCCATCCTAATGTCCTCGGGAAACAAGCAATTTGCGACTCCATTTAAAGAAGGGAGTACCAAGCCTTCAAAAGCATACACCCTGGGCTATTTTGACCGAACCTCAACCATGTCCGATATGTCTGCGTCGTTTTTGGGGGGGAATCTCTGCTTGGTTGGTTGCCTGGTTACATAGGGAACCCCAAAGAAAAGGCCGCATTTGAGGGTCCCCTCATTTAGAGACAAACTAGTTATTAAGCCACCTTTTAAGAGACACAGCCAGATCTGAGCGCCGGCTTAAGTTTTGTCTCCGTCGCTAGGAGGAGAAGAAGTACTCGCAGATGCTGCGGCAGAGGCTGCGGCAGCAGCACGCCGCGCTCAAGGCGCGCTGACGGGGGGGGGGGGGGAGGAAAATTCGGGTTGGCAACGTCATAGCCCAGAAACGGGTGCATGTGTTTGCTTTTGGATGCGTCTCAGATGCTCAAAATGACTGTAGGGGATGCACATCTTTCCAGACCCCTTTTTGCACCCAGGAACTAGCAACATGGATAAGTCATGACTGGCTCGTTGATGGGCACCTAGGCACACGGGAGAACAGTTTGTGACAGCTTCACAGCTTGCGTGAAGCCACTGCCAGCAGCTGAGTGATTGAGGCAACGGGAGCTTCAGTGCTCTCTCAGAGCCGGAAGGGTTTTTGTGAGGGCTCCGCTTTTGATTAGCAAGACTTCAACTCAGGGGAAACGAGACTTCAACTCAGGGGGTCATGTTGGGACGATATTAACCGGGTTCGAATCTACCTTAATCCACCACACAGAGAGGCGGAGAGGCGCTATGCGCCAGAGCGCCTTTGAGTCCATCCAGCCTTGCCACGCTCCCCGTATCCCTAAAATGTACGAAGGCACAGGCACTGCGGGATGGCAAATCTCCGAATTGGCCTTTTTGGAATGAGGTGTTCCTTAATGTTTCTATTTCAAGCAGCTTTTGGAGTTGAGAGGGCTGCAAAGAGCCACGCTTTATGCTAATTAACCCACAGGTTTCTTGGAACCGTGCAGTAAGCCAATGTTACCTTGCTGGTGCCGATTTGTATATTTGGTACATAGGCGTATATATGTCTATAAACCCTAAGGATCCAAGCACCCCGTTTCGAAGCCCAAAGTAAATCGCAAGAAGGTAGCAAGGGACCCTTGGTAATGTTTTGGTTTGGCTCCAAGAATTCACCACAGGCAGCCATCTGCAAGAGCTGGGATCTCACCGTTTTGTATGCGATTGGTCATAGGGAATAATTGATGGTATGTAGTGTTCGCACGTACCTAGAGGGCAACACCATATGATGCAGGTTCTGGCCCCCCAAAGTGTGCTGTTTCCTTCGGTTTGCCTTTGACCACCAACAAAAAGGGGGTTCGCCATTTTGTGACGATGTCCCCTCTCTTGCTGTCATTCAATGCTAAGCTTTTATACACTACACTATACAGACATATACGTATACATACATATATATGTACATACACATATACGGACACACACACACACTTATATCATATCTACATGTGCAAGGTACCTCCTTGGCAAATTTGCCACCACCACCCCCCCCCCCCTCCAGAAACATGCAGCATACAAACTTATTATATAAACATACCTAGATCTTCGTTTTGCATCTAAATTTTGGTCCCCCCCCCAATTCGGCATGTTAGTGGAGTAAACGGCCTTTTTTTGTGGAACGGACTGTTTTTAAGGGAAGCCGTTTGACCGAGCATTTTTTGGGTTTGGGGGCACATGTTGCCCTCTCTTGCCCATTATTGGCTCAAAGCCAGCCCTGTCTCTGACCATCACGTGCCCCAGTTGTATGTTGGTGCACGCACGCAGCCCCCGGCCCACCATCACCTCGATCTCCTGGCGCAGGTACATCGATGGAAGCGTAACGACGCGGAGGACATGCTGGAGGAGGTCTTGGCTGGCTCGTTTGGGGTTTGCCGTTCTTTACGGGCAGGGCTGGTTGGCCATGTGCGAGCCAGCATTCTAGCGCGCCTTGCAGTATTGCATGCGCATGCCTGCGCATGACAAGCATTTGCTCGGCGCATGCACGGGCATGATCATGCCCAACCAGCATTTCGGTTTGCAGCCATGAACGTAGATGGAAACGCGGTTGGCCTCATTGTGGCCGAATGGCAGCAGGATGAGAGCCTGCTCGCTCATGCTGTCACAGGAAAACTTGCCTGGATTGATGGGCAGCCTTCCCGGCAACACGTGGTTGACAACTGCGCGATCCTGGCGCCCATCATCAAGCATCTCGGCCACTTGGCCAACGCATGCCTGAATGTGTACGCATTGCATCACAGCCTCATCACCCAGCTAGCGTACGCCCTAGGGATGCGGGTGTCCATCAACACGATCAACGAAGCCGTGCAGACGTTCCTAAATCTAGCACGTCCACGTGGAAAGAAGCTTCCCTCTCGCTTGGGCCCCAACCGTTTGTTTTGGGGGCTTGTGGGTCTTGGGTGTGCTGGCATCAGCGCAGCTATTCCTGAGGTTCCCAGATATCCACAGAGGGCTGGATTCTTCGTCGGCTTCTGACAATCTTTAAGCGCATAGCGCAAAAGCCTCATCGCCCGCGCGAGTTGGAGATGCGGAAGCTGTTTGAGGTTGCCGGGATCCCTGTTGCTGGCGAATGCCAGGCCCGCGCCAGACTCACGGTCGCAGAGAGCTCTCAAGGAAAAACCATTTGTTGGAGCCCTCAAACTCACCCACACAGCGTTTTTGTCTACCCTGTTTGCAGTCAGTCATCTTTGACCTTCAAAAAAACGGAGCCCCCCATCAAAACTGGGTAGACTCACTGGACCAATAGGTCACAACCCCTAGTAGCGTATACAGGTTACAAGTGTGTTTGTTGATGGGTGGGAAGAAGGTTTTTGGGACAGCGCTTTTTGAGAAAGGTTGGAAATTGTTCAATTGCCAGGGCGGCGTGTTGGTGGACATGCATCTGGGCAATCCCAAAGTTGTGTTGCTGGGAAATAGTTTTCAATCGGGGTGTGATTGATTTTTGAACGAAACCTAGGCCTAGTTACTGCAATTCTCTCTTTTTGCCTGCGCCTAGGCAACGAGACATCGACTGATGAGGCTGACGAAGAAATGGGTTTCTTGGAGGAGGGGGAAGAAGAGGAAGACCCTGCTGCCGAAGACCCTGAAATACTTCAGGTTGAGGAGACCCATGAATATTGAGCTTTTGGGATCACACGTGAACAGCATATAAGTTCAGCGTACTTGCAGGAGCTGGCCCCTTCGCCTAATGCTGCCAAGGGTTCCCAAGGCTGGCTTTCCCAAACCCTGTTCCCAATTTCCTTTCAAACTCGTACCAGTCGATGCAGGCCTCAGCAATGAGACCTCGATGATCGTGACGCCTGAGCCGGGCACGCGTGGCTTGGCTGAATGACAGGGTAGCAGATGCATGCTCGCATACCAATATCAAACACATGTACTCATGCGAAAACCCTAGGCGTGCAGACAGACGAGACACCAATGCCTGTCACGCCTCCTATCTCTGAGAAGATGGTCTGCCCTGCAAAAGGGTTTGGTGAAAAACTGGCAGATGCTGCCAACAACCCTGAGCATGATGAGGAACTCACCCTTATGGCCCTTCAAGAGGAGCTAGCGTTGCTGGAGGAGTTGGAGGAGCTGGAGGCTGCAAAGGCCCAACTTGAGATTGAAGAGAAAGGTTTGAAAGCCGACCAGGGCACCTTCCATGTGGAACAGCCCAAGTGTCCCTTGGTCTCACATTGGACCAAACAAGATCAACCTACCGTATGCAAAAAACAGCGAGTGTTGCTGAGCGGGTTCTAGTCTGGACACTTCAACCCACGAAGACATCCATTTGAGGTTTGGCATGCTTACCGCTCTTGGATCCTAGGCATGGACAACATGGAGACCCTGCCCTTCGACCCGATCATGCTGGGACCTGAAGTGTCCGAGGCCCAGGCGCCCTTGGACACGATGGACAAGTCTCAGCCTGAGCTGGTGTCGCAAAAGACCCTCCAACTTTCGCCCAGCTTTTTGGAGGAGGTTGAAAACATAAAGTTGGAGAGGGAACAAGAAGCAAAGCACAAGGCAGAGGAACAAGAGGCAAAACGAAAGGCAGAGGAGCAAGAAGCAAAGCGCAAGGCAGAGGAACAAGAGGCAAAACGAAAGGCAGAGGAACAAGAAGCAAAGCAAAAGGCAGAGGCGCAGGAGGCAACGAGAAAGGCAGTGGAACAAGAGGCAAAAGGAAAGGCCGAGGATCAAGAAACAACGCAACAGCCAGCAAAGGTGGAGGCAACCTTACAGGAAGCCACTGAACAGATGCTGCAGTTCGGCAAGGAGGCTCGAAGCAAACCGCAGCAGCCAACAGCAACGGCAGCAACCACTGACAAGCCCAGCGTTGACCCCCGACCAGCAATCCTGGACCAAGTGGGCGTTGTGACACCCACTGAGCAGCGCCAGCGTGGAGCCGGTCTTGTGGGTAAAGAGCGGACAGGTGAAGCAGGCGATGGGAAAGGGCGAGGCAGGGGCAGGGGGAAGAGCAGAGGCAGGGGGAAAGGCGAAGGACGAGGACGGGGCCGCAAGAGCAAGGATGAGTCAGCGGAACACGATTTTAACAAGCAGTTGGAGGAGGCAAACGCGGAGGCGCTGGCAGCAGGTGAAAACTCAGCATCCAGCAGCCAACAAGCGAAGGAACAAGCAAGATCAAACAAGAGGAAGGACCCGCAGGAGGTTTCAGATCAGAATAAGGCAGCGACAAACAAGCGTAGGCAAGTTGCAGCAGATGATGCAGCCCCATCCCAAAAGCGCAAATCGGCGCACATCGCCCCAGCCAATGAGGACATGCCACGTAAGCGAACGGGGAAGCAAGCTGCAGCACTTTCCGAGGGAACGTGTGCAGTGACAACCCAAGAAGCCGCCTCGTCCGAAAACCCAGCAGCTCCAGAGGATAACACAATCCGCGCGCCAGCGCCCAAGCGAAGGGCAGCCAAAGCAAAGGCCAAGGCAGCTGTGGCAAAGGCAGCTCCAAAGAGGAGGGCCAGAACGCCGCCCACCCCGGAGGAGCTGGCAGAGCGCAAAAAGAAGGTGTCCCGAAAATCCAGCGCCTATCATGTGGCTGCCGCAAAAGCACGTGCAGAAGGGCTGAGTGAGGAGGAGGCCAAAGCAAAGGCAAAGGCTGTACCTGCTATGAACATCAAGCTTGAACATTGAGTTTTATTTGTGTGTGTGTGCCTCACGCAGCACGCATTGGTGCTTGATTTATCTGAGGCATACCGTGATGCAAACTGAGTGCTTCCAGAACATGCGCGGCACCAGTGCTCAATTTGATGGGGGTCAAACAAGCTTGCTATCAAGCTTGACAGCCAGGGGTCTGCTTGCCACTGTGCAAGCATGATTGAACTTTAGCCTGTTAGATCGATCAAGCAGTGGAGGATCTCCATGCAACACAAAGCGCGTGACGACGAAAAGTCTTGCGAAGCGCTTCGCCCATGCCATCCACACGTGCACTTCCAGTCTTAACCTTGGAGCACTTTCTGGCCTGCCCAATGCCAGGTGCCGGACCGATGCCGCGGGCTGAAGGTTGGGAAGTTCGAGATGCTGCTGGAGGCTCGCCTGTCATGGTTGGCCATATCTGCCATTGCGCGAGCCGAGACAGTCAACTGACCCTTAATGGCCATGATCCCTACACGCTGAGAAGGCGCATGCTCAAATAAAGCAAGTCCTGGCTTTTTGAGCCCGATGATATTTGAAGGGGTTGCGCACTGGCAGTGCGTCTTACACGCACCTACTGTTCGCAAGATTTGTGTTGCTCAAAGTCTCAACTTGGTGACTTTAGCTTAGAAAGTTGGCCATGGACTTAGCGTCAGAACTCGTCGCCCTTCGACATGTCCAAGCGCCCAAAGTTTTTGCCTTAGCTAGCTAGCAGGGTGTGCTTGCATTGACACACACCTACCTTGCGATTGATGAATTAGGTCTTGCTGGCCCTGGCGGGTTGCTTAATACGATTGCTTCAAAACACTGGAAATTGTGTAGCCCTACGCGTTGTGGCCCAGGTAATCTTGCTGCGGTTCACGGAGCCGGCGGGTGACCTCCCTACCCCAAGCTACAATTTCTTCGAAGTTTTTGCTGGGGGCGCTGAAGTGTCAGGAGTTTGGAAACAGGCTGGCTTCACCACTGCCAGCTATGACCGGGAATACATGAGTGGCCGGGGGATGGACTTTAATTCTGCTCCGGGGTTCCTGCCCCTTGTCGTTGATTACGCTCGAACCAGGAGAGGCCGAAACAACTTCCTTGTAACAGATCAATTTTTAAAGCTCTTTTTGCCTCTCGTGGAATGAACTGGGATTGTCAGCAGCAAGCCCCTAGTTTGTACTCAGGCTGGTGCTTTGGGTGACTATGTCGCAGCAGCCAAACAGTATGAACCTTCTAGCTCCAGACTGCTCATCCTGGATAGTAACAAGCAGGGGGACATCGCACAGGAACTACATCAACTTTACTGGATTTGAGGCCTACGAATTCGTAGCCTCAGCAAATTGCATGATTGCTCGGTTCCTCAATTGCAATACGCAGTGCTCCTTGTAGGGTGCAAATCAGTTCTCAAGTGGCTTTACACTAAGGGTGGTGTTGGCCTGCCTCCTCATCATGTCCCGGAACTGCCTATGGGCAATAGAGCAGCCCATGACTTCACTTCTTTACCGCCACAGGCGGTTCGAGTGGATGGCAAATGCTGTCTCTTTTGCACCTAGGCAGAAAAACAGCTTATGTGGAACCGTGCTTTTGGAAATTGGATTGTTGATTGCTGGCTGAGACATGGCGGTGTGGCTTTTGGATGATGCATCACGGTGGAGAGAGTGCTAAACGGACACTTATTTACAGCAATATGAGGGAGATCGGCTTTTTGGACCATGGCAGCCTGACCCAATCTGAAAGAGATC